ATATAATGTAGACTACAAACCTAGCTCAAGCTGTAATTATGATTATGACGAGTAATAGTAATAATAAAATAAAGTTCCACAATATTATTCCTCCATGGTTCTCCATTATAATAATGGTACGAATACTGAGTATTCAGTTGCGTTGAGTTATTGAGTTACTTGAAGTTCTTCGGATCAGAGAATTGAGAAAGCAGCACAATGCCCTTTCTTCATTACAACAACACCACGTTCTTTGTCAGGTTTGAAAATAACAAATTTGTTGCATAAGAGTTTAGGAGCATTTATTCTTTTAGTACTACCTGTAAGTTTCTTATCAAAGTTGAGAAACTTGCAAGTCATAACATACGAACATTACATAATAGGAGGGGAGTGCTAAACAGGGAAGACTATAAGGATATCAAACCAATTTTAAATAGTAATAATGATAATAATAATAGGAATAATAATAATAGAAATAATAACAACAAATTATCGTTGTTCTATGTTCTGTTTTACAAACCTACATTAGAAAGTCTAGTTATTATTATTATTATTATTATTATTATTATTATTATTATTATTATTATTATTATTATTATTATAGTAATAATAACTAGTCTTTCTATTGTATAAAGAGAACATATGGCTTTTTCTCAATAATAATAATAATAATAATAATAATAATAATAATAATAATAATAATAATAATAATGTTAAATAAAGTTTGAAAAATGCAGGCTATGAGCCTAGCACAAGTCTTGAACATGACGATGTATTAAAATGAAATTATAGACCTATCGTAAAACAAACGTAGTACCATTGCACAAAGGAACAAAGAGAGAAAGCTGAACTACAAATCTACAAATTTAAATACATGGGGAAGTTCAAATAGGGTGGACTGGTCGATGTTGATTGTTTATTGTGGTGATAAAGAAGACATGAAAACATAAATGCAAGCTTTCAGATGTCCCGGAATAGTTTATAGAGTGATTAAATATTATGTGTATTACTTTAGGCACAATAGATACTGGTACGTTAGTTACTAGGCCTAGTATTAGTAGTAGTAGATTGGTGGTAGTGGTAGTTCTGGTGGTAGTAGTGGCAGTGGTGGTGGTGCTTTATTCTAGTCTAGTCTAGTACTAGTGATAGTAATAGGGATATATAGTGGCAATTGTACTGGTATTGGCAATGGTTCCGGTAGAGTTAGTGAGAGTGATAGTCGTATAGTAGTCATGGTAATGACAATGGTAGAGCGGTCTGGTTGTGGTAGAGTGTTCATGGTAAAGGTATTATAGAAGGAAAGTCTAATTATGACAGAAACTATCCATATTAATGCATTTATTATAATTCATCATAATGTCATGTAGGCTCATTAGTACTTAAAGCAGACAGCACCTATATTTGCAAAAATTTCAGTCGTAGTATTCTGCAAAATTTTGAAATAAGAAATTCGGCCTATTTGGTGTTACATATTTTCATTTTTCCATTTCTCATTTCCATCGAAGTTAACAATGGGCTCTTAGTTTTTAAACCTTCCTTAAGTGTGCTCACAATACGTCGAATCGATGCAGAGTTTCTGGTTTTCTTCGTCTGACTGGATCGACGTGTCTTGTGCATTGTCGGTACTGTATTAATCTTCTGTGCATTGACATCTGGAAGATGACGCAGACGTTCTTGTAAATCCTGTGAATATGAAAAACAACAACATGTTTAACTCTTTGACAAGTTATATTAATTTTCTTTGTCACACTTATCATCTGAGTTAGAAATAGAGTACCAGGGAAGACATAAAAGCTACCGCAGAACTGCATTGTCTACAGCCAACACTATACTTCAAGATTGTATATTGCTATTGTTCACTCGTTGGCTCAGCAACGTCTGGGGTTGTTGAACTTCAAAGATAACAGAATTCAGCTAGGAAAGTTTAATTATTAAAACATAGAGCATATGAGCACATTAATTCTCCTGTTCTTATTGATTTGATGGGTTTTAACACTAATAAATGAACTGTTTTAGAAGTACCCTTCATCACTTCAATATCAGGCTTTATAATAATACACCACAGTGTATAATTTCATTAAATACCGGAATATCATCTAAAGCTACATTTACACTAGACACAATAACGACACGACAACGACATTAAAACGCATTATAAGATATGTTCTTGTGTTCCAGAATCCCACACGAAGGTCTACATAGGAAATGTCATTATGCTAACACCTTTATCAGGCCAAGTGGCGCATAAGGTTTTCATGTTACTGCAGTGTAGCAGTTTTTTTGTTGTTTTTGTTTGTTTTTTTTTTAGTGTAGCAGTTTTTTTTTTTTTTTTCGTTTTTGATTTTTTTTTGTTTTGCAGTCGCAATATGTTTCCGAGTATCTCTATCTTCGATACATGATCTCGGTGCGTATTTTTTTTTACTTAGAATTACTGTGTTTTGTTTTTTTTTCTTTTTATAGAATTACCGGTACTTTATTTCGCACAATGTACACCTACCATCTAATTTTTAGGATTCTTTTTAAGCACTCGGTGACTGAAATGTGTGTAGCTTCAAAAGTGATAAATTGAAGCAACAGTATAGACACATTTCTAGAATAGAATAGAGTAAAACACTTGACTCAATAAAAGTTTAGTCATATTGGTTCTATTTAAAAGCTGGCTTCTATACTAGCAGTTCTTGAGGACTTAAGTTTAATTATCAATATATTTGGTTTAGTATAGGACCAACTGGGTCCAGAGCCATTATGCTGTAATTGTAATAGTAATCCAGTATAGGTAGAAGGGGTTTTCAACTTTGTCATATTCGTCATCCTCCTCTCATTATCAGCATTTGTCAATATTAGTACTAGTAGTATAATTTTTTGATAGTTCACTATTGCCATAATACCAGAAATAATACCAATATGTTTTTATAATACGTATTGCGCATTATCGGGCAGATGACGCCCCGTGTGTTTGAGATCTTGTATCCGCCACTGACTAATTGTGATTATTAATTATAATAATAATAATAATAATAATAATAATAATAATAATAACAATAATAATAATAATAGTATATAATAATAATAATAATAATAATAATAATAATAATAATAATAATAATAATAATAATAATTACCTGTACAACATAGCTAGATCGGCTTCCTCTTTTAGCACTAACCATTGCTTTGTTTTGTTTCTTTGTAATCTTTGCCGCTCTTGGCTCATCATAATCATTATTACTATCATCAAACAATTTGCGTTTCACCGAGTGTCCGATAGCTGTTGAACTAGACGACACAGCCATAGGGGTTAAAGATACATCGGATGGGGGGCTACTTAGTGCTCCGGCACCCCTAGCAGGAGTTTGAAATGTTGATGGGACACTGTTGGACGACCTTGATCCTGTTCTTTTTTGTTGTATTTGTTTTGAGGTGCGGGTAGTTGAAGCGGAGGCTGGTGCACTGCGTTGGCGGGTAGTCACAGCGGATGTGAATGTTTTCTAAAAATATAAGATTGATTGATTGATTGATTGATTGATTGATTGATTGATCGATTGATCGATCGGTCGGTCGGTCGGTCGGTCGATATTGATCGATTGAATAATTGATTGGATTGAAAGTAGTGGCAACTACAAAATTCTAGGCCTAAATAATTTTCAATGTGATGATGTAGCCGAAAATAAAGATTAGGTTACCTCTATAAAATAATAAGACTTTTTTTTCAATCAATGGATTTATAAGGCGCATAATGCAGCAGTCTCTCGCGCAATTTTTATCAACGAGTAAGTAATAATGGTAATGAATAATAATGGTAATAATAACAGTTATTACTTTTATGTAGTGGAGGTTGTAGGCTTAAGATATACGTACCGCCTGCGATGAGCGAAAAATAAAAACAATTAAATTTAATATTGCTTACTTTGTAAAAAAAAGTATATTATTGTTGTTTATTATTATCAATTCATCAAATATATATCATCGAATACCGTAATTATGCAATTACCTGTATAACATAGCTGGATCGTCTTCCTCTTTTAGCACTAACCATTGCTTTGTTTTGTTTCTTTGTATTCTTTGTCGCTCTTGGATCATCATTATCCTCATTACTATCATCAAACAATTTGCGTTTCACCGAGTGTCCGATAGCTGTCGAACGAGACGACACAGCCATAGGGGTTAAAGATACATCGGATGGGGGGCTACTTAGTGCTCCGGCACCCCTAGCAGGAGTTCGAAATGTTGATGGGATGCTGTTGGACGACCTTGATCCTTTTCTTTTTCGAAGTATTTGTTTCGGGGTGCGGGTCGTTGGAGCGGAGGCTGGTGCACTGCGCTGGCGGGTAGTCACAGCAGATGTGGATGTCTTCTAAGAATGGTAGAATGATTGGTTGATTGATTGACTGATTGATTAATTGATTGATTTTGACTAAATAATTTATTATTTGATTAGATTAAATGTAGTGTCAACTACACAATTATACTTGAAAATCAGACAAAATTACAGGCCTAAATTTTCAGTGTAATTATGCCGAAAATATAGATTACTTTATTAAAATTAAATCTTTTTACCTCAAAAAATAACAAGACATTTTTATCATTGAGTAAATAATAATAGTAATGAATAATAATGGTAATAATAATTATTATTGTTTTCATGTATTAGAAGTGTAAGCTTAAGATATGCGTACCGTCTGCTATAAACGAAAAAATAAAGTATAATATTACTTTTTTTGTATAAATATTTTATAAAAGCATATTATTATTGTTTATTATTATCAATATATCAACAATATCTCACCGTATCAAGGGCGGCCATTTCTTGCAAAAAATCATCAACAGTTTTGCCTTTCTGTAGTTCCTTGTTGAAATTTGCATAGTTTTTTTCATTAGCAATAAATTTTATGTGCTTAGCCGACTTAAAATGTGTAATAGCGTTTACAAATCTGAAGGAAATCATTGGTGAGAGCGTCAACATTATACTATATCAACTTATTCAGCTTCTTTAATTGTTTTCATGCTCTCGTTCTTTGATATACATGGTCCTAATTATCATAATAATTATCATCATCGTCGTCGTCGTCATAGTCATCATCATCATCAACATCATCATCAGGAATGTAGGCCCTATCGCTGACCCAATAGGCCCGGAGTGTGCTTTCCCCCACTTCAATTCAGTTTGCCCCTCACTGAACTATAGTAGTATGAATACACTTCGTATTCAGTATTGGATTGGATTGGATTAGATTTATTCGGTGTAACCACCAAGGATAGCCCACGAATGTCTAGAAGACTTATTTCCAGTGGGGTCCTTCTGGTGGTGATTGGGATACACCGGGGAACAATTCCCTACTCTTTTCCGAAGAGTGTACTGCGTTCTTTAACGTGCACATGAGTCATCAATGCACACGGGACCAACGGCTTAAACGTCTCATCCGAAAACGGTGCGCTATTATAACTTGTATTTCACCCTTCCAGTTGAAATACAAGGAGAGGCAGCGATGGGAATTGAACCGGGGACCTAGAGATCTCCACGGTTCAGCGCACACACAGTGGCTACCACCACTGACTGAGCTAAACTGCTCTATTTGTAAGCAAAAGCACCTTAGTATTATGATTTGTTTTCAAGTGGAAACATGATCATATATTGACAGCCAGCCAACAACTATGCTCTATCGTATACCTTACATCACATGATTCACAATATCCCTGAGGTTTGTTTAATGAGGTACCGGTAACAGCAGTGGGTCTTGTGGACACAGCAGCGACTTGTTTCTTGGTATCTTTTCTCGTTACCATTCCAGATCTAGTAGGACTACTGCTTGGCACAACCATTGGCCATTTTGGAATTATTTTGGTAGTGGGCCGATATTTTCTGTAAGATTATAATTTACTGATAAGTAAATTTTAGAAACAGGCCAGAACGACAAAAGGAATACATAAACTGAAATTACCCTAAAAAAGTTTAATTAGCCAACCTTATAGTTTCTGTAATACCAAAACATCCATTAATACTTTGTTTTATAAATTATCTACAATCTACAATTAAGCTCTCTCATTCTATAAGCTACTGTCTCTCTCCCTCTCTCTCTCTCTCTCTCTCTCTCTCAAAAAAAAAAAAAAATGCTTATGTACGGCCATTAAATATAACTTAACCATCATTAATTTGTAAATACTTATATATACAACATCACTATTTGGATTTTCCTTGCGCTAGCAGAAAATGCCATTGTTTTTCATTCTTTTTATTGGCTTTTTCTGCGTCAGCAAAAAATGTCATTGTTTCTGTTCTGATTTTCTTTTTCTTCTATCATATTTTCCTGTGGTTTTGTACTGGGTTTTTCTGACCGGCACTTTGGTCACTTTCCGTTCAGGGATCTTCCTCAAACTTTGTCCGAGACAATTATATAAAACATGCGCATATAAAAAATATGGCGTCAATTTACATATTTGGAATATAATAAAGAGGTAATTAAACTTTTATGTTAAAGCAATTGCGTTTTATAAAGCGTTTCAAACTATCTACAGCTATGTTAAACACAATATTACCGTGAAATGCATGAACAATTCTCACCCTTGACTTATAACATTACTCTAGGTAGGAGACATAAAAATGCACTGCCTTGCGAAAGATCGGGTTCTTTAGCTACGGTAAGAACTCCCAGCAGCATTCTTGCCAACTGCAGTTATGGTTCGAGTATCGCTGAGGTCGGGGTTACTTTTTTTACTTCATAAATTTCATTAGTATAGGCCTATTATTTTTTGTTGGTATATTTTATTTTATACTTTTCAAATCAATTTTTTTTTTTTTTGTAATTTCAACATCACTTCTCATTATGGCAATGAGAAAAATTCTAATGTTCTGTTTTATAAAATTTTCTAATTTTTTGGACTAATAAACTTCTTGTATTCTGTTTTCTTGGCCTTTAATGCAGAATAAACTTAGGTAATTCAGCCATTTCTTAGATTTGTTAAAGAGCTAAAAATGTTTATGGCTTACATTGGCCAGCTAGCTATGATAAAACTATATCATAACTTAACAATTAGGCCTAATATGAATTAATTGCAATAAAAAGTTATTGACACATGAAACCACCTACCTTGAATTGTCTTCGACTTTTATGACGTTTCTTCTAAGCTTCTGTGTTCGATTCCTTAAGGGTGACGTATGTGAGAGTATATTAGTAGTTCTTATCGATTTTTTATTAACAGAAAGCGAATTTATCCATTTTGAAACCTCTGTAAAATTCACTTAAAAGAAAATAATTTAATAACAATTTGATTGAACTCATAATAATAAAATTATATGTTTGCTCAGACCTAAAAAAAAAAGTGGCCATGTTACTTCCTCGTCGATAAAATTGTCTGCAGATACCAAGATCTAAGTTTACACTATGAAAGGATACGATCGATGTGTTTAATTTCAACATTCCACAAGGCAGCTTTCTCAAGAATGTATCTTCTAGAATTCTACAAAACATAAATATTTATCTATATTTGATTACACTAAATATTATTCATTTTAAATTTTAATCATCCTTATTTTCCAAAATTGTGATTGATAATTGGTTGAGGCGTCTGTAAAAAGAGAGCAGAAGGTTATGGGTTCGAATCCAGGTTGGAGTAACCTTTTTTTCTGCCCTTGCATATTCCTCTTTAAAGTTCAGATATATAAATATTATATAATAAGGCTACTTATATTGTAAATTGGCTTATATATAATAGGGCTATTAAGAAAAATAATACAGTAAGGTCTATGTATTATAATAATATTAGACATGTTTATAATGTTGACTACCGTATGTTTCAAAATTTAAACATTCCGATTTTAACAAAAAAAGAAAACTTACTATATTTGGAGCTGTAGCTGCAGATCTGAAAAATATGAAGAGAATGGTAAATTAACGCGTTGTCAGTGTGGTTATCTGTGAGGTTCCAATATAGTACTAGAAAACCCAAAGGATAGTGGACCTTTCTGGAGTGTCAATCAATTCTAACAGGACCATCCACATGTCCATTTTGTGGCACATTTGCAATTGGGCTTAGCGGGAACGATCCATTAGATTTTGGTCATCCATTAAAACATTACTATATTAAGATAAAAAGGAAGAAAAATAAGACTAATTTGAATTGATTAGTTTGTATAGCTACAGTAAGTAATAGTAGCTTTCCATTGAAAATGTAAACGTGATAATATTTCTCTATACAAATTGACAGACACACCGTTCTATACCGCGTATTCCTTACATTGTTGGTAGTCCTACTGAATATTTATTGTAAAATCTCTGTAAATTTTGTGAAAAACTACATTGCCTTACGTGTCTCATTAACATTTGATAACCTGTGATCCATTATAAAGCAAATAATTATGAGAAATTCAATCCCCGTTAAAAGAAGCCCAGACAGTAGGTCTTATCTCGAGAAGAAGCCTATCTAGAAGAAGTCTGTCTCGAAAAGAAGCCCATTTGCTTCATTTTTAGATAGTAGTATGTATATCCTTTCGATAGAGTACAATTTCATTTTAAATGAATATCAAAGAAACAGACATAAATTTTGAAATAACACTAACAATTAGTTAATACGATTAATAAGATTACAAAATATCAATTCCTTAGTGTTTGCATATTCTTGTTAACAGACAGACAGCGGTGATAACATACCGATCCTTGGCTGAGGTAATTATTTAAGAAAGTATAATACATACTCCAAGTATTGAAATACACGTCATCGTGTTGGGATTCAATATTTCGACATTAATTATGTCATTACCTTCCTGATGATGACATAATTGATGTCGAAATATTGAATCCCAACACGATGGCGTGTATTTCAATACTTGGAGTATGTATTATACTTTCTTATCTGAGATTAATCAGTGGACCTTTCGGTAATTATTTAAAATGAGCAATTTAAAGTTATCTTTTATTTTTTTCGATAAGTTTCAATTGACTGACAATCTTAAACTAACCTTAAACTTCTTTCGCCAAGTCGTTGATTAGTGATGAGAAAGTTGATAGATTTCGTGAACACCGTCTGTACTATGCCACCAAGGCCTTTGAGATGTATTTCAAGTGCTCGGATTCTGGATGTTGGACTTCCTTTTAAGTCAAAAAAGAACGTCTTTCCCGAAAGCACCTTTATTTGCTCACTACGATGTTGTTTGACCATTTTGCGTTTGTATGTCATTATGCCATATTAAATGCCTACAACTTGTAACTAAGTTTATGATCGTACTTTGTGGAGCTCGTTTCTATGGCATAATTTCCGCGCAGCCAAACCGCGAGCACCATCCGCGCTCCGTTGCTTCGTAACGCTTCAAAACAAAAAACAAAAAAAAAACTATGGTAACAAAAATGGCAGACACGCATTGTGACCATAGAGATAATAGAGCAGTTTAATAGCTCTATGATTGTGACTGACACCTGTACAATACCGTCAGAGCCATTATTAGATAGAAAGAGTTGCGACATTGGGAATTTAAAAGCCATTCTGTGTCCAACGCGATGCGCGTTCCCGTGTATGGTATAATATCGTATAATCTAATTCAATTCAGCCTTCTGTAATTTTATTTAATTTAATCTTTTTAGCAGTTGAATTTCATGTAACTATATTTATAAATATTTTTTTTTAATGATTTCACTACTTTATATCCAATTTTTATATTATACTGTAATAATTTACTATTTTTAAGCAGTTCTTTAATCCTTGTCGATAGACGGAGAGGACCTCGAGGTATTCTTCAATTAGGATATCCTGCCAGACCCTCAAGTGGCTCCTGCTTTTTTGGCGAAATAAATGATATATGACGACCAGCAAAAAATAATCAATTAACTATCAGATAAGCCTATTCATAGAGGCCCTAAATATCAAAATGTAAATGTAATTTAGATTAGTTACTCTTTTATTTTCGATTACATCTATGTTGTTTATGTTATTTAATTTCTGTGGAAAAAAAACGATAACAAAACAGCAAAATATCCTAGTATTTTTCCTTGAATTTTGCAAAGAGAAACAACAAGTTATTTTCGTGATCATAATCAAATAAAAGAAGGCCTATTTAATCGACATCGTCGTTTTACCAACTTAGATGACTACTAAAGACAAATGTGCTAGCCATATCTTTATGTTTTCATACTACTGTAAGGTTTAATATATATCAAAAGAGTATATGTCAATGGGGCCCATCATTTTCGTTCGCAAATTGACAGTACACCTAATTATCACTGTCAGAAAATTATTGTTTAAAAAGTAAAGGGCAATCATTTGTCTCCTTAATTCATTGGTTTTGTTACCGTATGGTTTCTTCCAGACTGCTTTATCAAAATCAGTGTTGGCAGCTCAATTTTGAACAGCCAGTTTCATTATTTTTAGCTTATTTTGTCCGGCTTTAGTGATTTCAATGATCCGTAAATAGGGTATCTAGGTTGTTGTTCTTTAAAATTAAATATGAGCGAGAGCTATACAAATCTTGTAATATTAATTTGATTATTATTATTTATAAATATTAAAACAGTATAGGTCAGTTGGCCGCAATATATAAACTGATATTGTGTAGGCCTAAGTGAAGAGAAAAAAATACCTTTTTTGACAAGAAAGGCAGGTTTTTCAGTCATAGATTAAAGTAGTAGAACGTTTAACATTCCAATTATAATTTCTATGTAATTCCCTGTAACTTGCATTTAATTATCAAGCGCGCGTGAACACGCGCAAATATTCGAATTCTAAAGATAAATTCTAAATCACGCTTTTGATATTTAGTAGTTATTAATTAAGTAATAACATCATAAACACAATTAAACGTGAAAATACTATGTAATATACCGAACTCATATACCTTACATGTGTTCATCGGGAGATTTGGACACATTTGTACGGTGTGTACCACGTGACTTTCGCAAACCGAGGAGCGGATCAATGTCGCAACTCTTTATATGACTCTCTGAATACCGTCGAATTGAAGCAAGGTAATTCAACAGAAGGACGCACATAATTTAATTTTACTGTGGCATCGACAATCTGATACTAGTTGCGAGTACAGCCATCAATTATTAGTCTATGCGTGCCATTCGTTTTATGGTTCGCAATGTCTGTTACATCTGATTTTTTTTTTGACCGCGAGCTTGTTAAATGCTTCTATGAACTGCAATTTGATTTGTGAAAATTGACCAAGAAAATGAAAAGTTATAGCAATTTAAAATTTACGAATTTTATAAAATTTCATGTTCTTATGTAACGTTAATCTGTCATTTTGACAATGTTGGCATAAGGTGCCGAAAACGAACATTTGAGTATATACAGAACATTTTTTCTGCGAAGTGAGTCTCATGAACGACAATTCACCACAATTAGCCTCGAAAAGAAGCCCATGGGCTTCTTTTGAAGATAGCATAGGCTTCTTTTCGAGGTCTACACACTGTACATGAATTTCAGAAAACAAAAATAAATAAATAAATACAAGCTTGGATATACAGTAGTTTAGCCAATTTAATGCCAGACACTCCATGGATTGATGTTACCAGTGGCCTTATTTATTGTTTTATATTACAAATTCACAAAATTTACAGTATTCATTTTGAAAAGAAGCTCCCATCTTTGCTTTGCAAAGGTAGTCTCGAAAAGAAACACCATCTCGAAATGAAGCCCATCTCAAAAAGAAGCCCATCCAAAGTTCGCAAAAAAAAAAAAAAAGTTCGCAAAAAAAAAAAAAAAAAAATAAGAAAAAGGACTTCAATTCGAGGTTTACCATAAGATCTTATCTGTATTTTTATAATTATGCCCTACTGTAATTCCATTATACGTTCATTTTGTTATTATTTAGATACCTTCACATTTGTATGGTAGTATAAGATATTAGCCTATGACATCGACATCATCATTTCTTTCTTATATAATATCATTTTACGTATTTCATTCTGAAACCACGTTTGTAGTTCCTTTATAGGACGTTTCTTTTGACAGTCAATCATCAGTTTATTTAGAAAGAATTTTGCTTTTTACCAATTACATAACATTGGAACTAGATGAAATTATTTGATGTATTACTATTACACCTCCGCCGACGAGCCGGTTATGTATTCACCGTTTCAGGGCACCCTTGCTACTAGGTTTAGCGGAGCAACCCATTAAATTCTGGTCATCCTATAAAAAAAAAGTCTGTAAATTTGAGAAAACTATATTGTTTCATTCTCTGTCTCATTAAAAATTGATAACTTATGATCTATAATTTTATTCAATACACGTAAAGCATCGAAAAGAGACCCAGTGGGAGTTATCTTGAGAAGAATTCTATCTTGAAAAGAAGCCCCTTTTTATTTTTCAAAAGTAATCTAAAAAGAAGCCCAACTCGAAAAGAAGCCAGAGGGGTTTTGATTCAAGAGTATGGGCTTCCTTTCAAAGGGTTCTTTTTTATTATGTATTTGGTGGTGTCGTCGGCATTTTTTGGTCAATATAATTCTTAAAATACGTTAATTTTCTGTTTGTTTTTTTAATTTAGTACTATTGTTGTATAGCAGCACTTCCCAATATCTCGGTATAAATTTTAAAGAGCCGCCCCTCTTTAGTTCTGAAAAGTAACCTCAAAAGAAGCCCATCCAAGCGTCCTAATGAATTAAGCCAATGAGGAGGTTTTACGATATTTTAATTGCAGGATTTTTGGATGATGATGAAATCCACCATTTTATTGTTAGAATGTTTAAACTCTGTCTCTTATACACATCTAGATGAAAGCGCTTTCCCTATGGTCTGCACGATACATCGCTTGGACATTTGGCTCTCATGAGACATGAAACCCCCTCCCCTTACAGAATCCTGGTAACAGACCTGCTCAGACGGAGCAGCACTTTTGTAATACGATTTTTTTTCTTGCCAACTGAGCATGTACGTATGCAATACAATTTTAATCGTAGTGTAATACCATAATAGCACACCGACTTTCAAATTTCTACAATCAAATTTTAGAATACGTTGCAATCCTGTAAATTATGGAAAAACAATATTTCCATCCTATATCATACCCCAGTTATAGATGATAGAATAATATGCAACTATTTTAAAAGAGCAATTTAAAGTTTTTATATGATTGAGGGTTTTTTTTTTCTATATGTTTCGGTGATAAACTGTAACTAGTGGAGTGGTACATATGGATCTAATAGATGATTAATTTTTGGATAGGAAGCCAAGATGATGTTAATTCACGAATTCTTATTTATATTATTATATCCTTAAATTTTGTAATCAAGCCTTACTGAATCTCCAACCTAAAAACAGAATAGGGAGATTTAACAAATTTTCGAAAACAATAACGAATACTTCATCTTCATTATCATCATTCGTGCCTTAACATTCTTCACAGTACTGTACATACAACAGCTGAAAATCGTTGATTCATATAAAAGTCATTGATGGGCCTATGTTGTGAAAGTTATGCTACATACCTCTATAGGATGGATTGACTAAAAACATGATGACGTAAACGTATTCATTATCATTTTAATACGCTTGTGAAAACTAATATTTAAAGAAATAGTTAAAAAAAAAAAACTGTACACGAATCACATTTGTTTACACTGTTCGTAAACAATATTTAATCATACAAATTTTCAATTACATGTATTAGATAATTCGACACCAACCAATAGCAACAATGTACAGTAGCACCTTACAATCCAGAATGCTCAATTAATTAATGAGGAATTTTCTCTCAAAAAATGAAAAGTTTGTGGATGAGGTGGCACAGGAGTTGTTTCAGTATTTCTAGGTTGGAGGTTCAAACCCTAGCTGTGTATTTTGCTTGTCTTTTGGGCAAGCTCCTTCACCTCATTTGTCCACCCAGAAGCAGTGGCGGCGCCAGTGGGGGAAGGGCCAAAAAAATAAATAAAATAAAAATAGGCCTACAACAAGCCAAAACATGCCTTTCAACAGTTGTAGAGTGCCATTCTTGGCCATTCAGAGGTCCCTATTAAAAAAAAAAAACTCATTTGAGAGGGGGATACCCCTATCCCTTCTCAGGCATACAAGCTGAAAAACCACTGTTGGACAGTTAAGCGCCCCCCCCCCCCCCATAAAATGTATCCTAGAGATGCCACTGCCCAGAAGTATAGATGGGTACCTGATAGGATGTTTTGGTATTGTATGTATTATATTTATCACCAGTGCATGCCTTGTTTCTTTTGGCACAAGGCATGCAAATTCTTCTACAGTATTATTACAGTATAATAAAATGCACAATACTCTATATCTCTGCTATATCCAGGCAAAATCATTACACTATCACACAAGTTCAATTGATTACGGTAGAACCCATATTAAGGGGACACGGTTGGGAACAAAAAGCGTCCCTTAATACTTAATAGGGAAGGTTACGCAGTACGATTGCATTGAAAACATTGTAGCGACATTGTAGCGATTTTAAGGAAACAAGGCTTCAGTATTAAGATATATATTTTCAATGATTTGTGCCCAAAAAGTGTCCCCTTAGTAGGAGAAAGTATAATACATACTCCAAGTATTGAAATACACGCCATCGTGTTGGGATTCAATATTTCGACATTAATTATGTCATCATGATGACATAATTAATGTCGAAATATTGAATCCCAACACGATGGCGTGTATTTCAATACTTGGAGTATGTATTATACTTTCTTATCTGAGATTAATCAGTGGACCTTTCGGTTCTTAGTAGGAGTGTCCCCTTAATAGAGTCCTCCCCTTAATAGTGGTGTCCCCTTAATATGGGTGCCCTAAAGAACGGGGTTCTACTGTATTATATAACTTCTATTGATATTGTGATAAAGTAGATTTCATCCTTTTCATCATTGCTGGTAGTATTGCTATATGTTTATCTCCGCACTTGACAAGACAACTTTCCATTTCTCCTCGCAAGGCATCTATTTGCTGTGAGCTGGCTCCCGGTGATAACCTATCTTTAACATCATCTTGGCACTGTACTGCACATCGCTGTAGTCTTTCCTGAATTCAAAATAAAGAGTATTTCCATAATTAGCTCAATAACAATAATTAATAGTATTCCAAAGCCAACTGATGAACAATAATAACGATGATAATAATAATTTTTATGTTTTTGCATAAGGAAAATATAATAGGAGTGATGTTTTTGCTCTACCTGACATGTTATCGTACTGAATTCTCGGTACTGTACATCCCAAATACTTTAAAAAAAAAGAAATCGCAAGTGATTCAAGTGGGAATCGAGCCTACGACCTCCAGATAACTAGACTGATGTCATAACCACTAGACCACTGAGCTTGTGCTAAGTGACTAGTGTTGATTCTGATCCTTATGTAACTGTAGCAGCAGATACTACAATGCTATTTTGATGTTTTTGCGTCAGGAAAATGTAGGTGACATCACTCCTACGAATAATACAGTTGAACTTTCCTAAGTTGAATCCAAAATGGCACTAAAAAATTGTTTGACTTAGATAAAATTTGACAAAAACAAAACAATTTGACATGCAAAATAAGATCGACTTAATAGGCAAAGTCGACTTAGGAAAGTTTAACTATAATAATAATATACAATAATCAAATTGTAATAACAAAATAATTACATTCTAATAATTGTTATAATACAGTAATAATATTACAGAATTACAGTATGACTAACTTCATGAACGTTTTGCAAAAAATGATGCATTGGTTGATACAGTATATCTACTACGGGTTGGGATGGACATCTTCCTCCAGTTTGGAGAATTTGGATCTCTCAGTCATCAGATGCCACTAGAGGTTGTCAGATAAAATATTAATTTTCCTATCCATAACCAAAGTTTTATTGTGATTGCAGTGTGGTAGAAACATGATTTTTACCATACTAAACTATAACACTTGATCAAGCATATCTTCTTTTATAACAAGCAAAACCTGAAAATGTTCAAAAATCTGATTCTAAATTTTTTGGGTGCTTGCGTAAAATTAGAAATTGGGACAACCGGTGGGTTTTGTCAGAGCAGGTTACAGTTATTTTGAGTGACAGCTTGAATGTGGAAGCTAATTTAGATTGACCTGGTAATCCTGAAGCTCAGTCTGGATTGTGTTTTGTGCTCGTTGTAATGGCTGCGAACAACGTTCTATACAACGCTGAGCTTCTTCCATATTGCTTGAAGTATTATCACAACATCTTGCACTGCACCGGTACATATCACCCTGTAAGAGAATCAACAGGTTGATTAAATTTTACAGACTGTATATTTTAATGTGCTAACATTCTAACGCAGTAATACAATAGTTAAGATATGCTTTTATTGTTCTCATCTTTTTTGCCAATTTCAGACTCAAATGGTCTAAATTTGTTCTTATTTTACACATTTGCGCTAATGCACTTTCGCACCTAACTTTTAATTCTTAATTTTTATACCTGAATTTT